TTCGATGCAAATTGATTCTGCGGAAACGTGCGTACGGATTCGGAGTAAATGAAGCGCGTTCGATGCAATCATATCGTACTTTTAGATTTCATTAACTTTTAATTGTGTAGCAATAATATTTCGTGAAATTAATTCAGCAATACTTCTTTATCTCTAATCAGGTGTATGTGTTGGATGTGGTTGCCTATCAACTATTAATTAGTAGCTGGACGCCATCTATCTTTGGATGAGGTCTGAATTGAAGAAGTCGTAGATGTTTTATGCTGAATATTCGATTTCTGGTTTTTTTTTGCTATCAGCCATCCCGCTCAAACGAGCTTTTAATTTGGGAATCATCTGCATATGTGCAGTTTGTGTGTGGGTGGTTGGTTGGAGGGGTTGGCACGAGTGTGTATACATACATACATAGTATGTGGAGCGTGTTTTCATTTCCTAGTTTTCTTTTGGGCTATATCATAGCTGCGGATGCAAATAGAGCGAGCGCGAGTTGACAATTGACAGATCCTTATTGTGCTCGAAAGCTGGGACTCCAATGTAAAAATCGTCCTGCTCCTGCTCCTCCTCATCCTCCACCCATCACCCATCGGGGGATGAACACCGCACCTCCCTCCGACCAGCCTCCGTCGTCCCGTTCCCCTTTCCATCGCCAACCACTCCTCATCATCCATCTATCTCTGACTCTCTTCACATCATTGAAATCAAAACGCGCGCGTGTGTGTATGTACGTGCATATTGGTGTGTGGTTGCGGTGATGCGAACATATACATATATATGCATGTGTGTGTGAGAGAGAGAGAAAGAGATACTAGCATTAACTGTGAGCTTTATGCAACGTGCTTTTTCGTTCCCGGAGAGAGGGATGTTTGGATGTTTTCAAGCACGTTTTGCTTCACAAAAAAAAACTCTTTCTCCCCGACGGTGATTGCACACTCCGATTTACATACTCTCTCTCTCTCTGTCGCACACATTATCATCATCATCATTGCATAACACAATCCATGTGATGATCAGGAAGGGTTCCGATCTTCACTCGGCCGAGATCAATTTCTGATCGATCACCAATCATCCCTTTCCACAATTGACGTTAATTATTAACTTTGGATCCTCTTCCAAACAGCGGCATTGCCGAATCCATCAAACCACGCAATACCTGTCAATACAAAATGAAAGGAAGAAAACAAATATAAGCACAATTCCACTGTCAAAAGATTAGTACCCATTAATTCACACCAATTATAAACTGTAGATGATTAAAACGATATTAATTTCGTTAATTTTTAATGTACTTTGATAAAAGTAGGTGCTGCAATGAAAGTTTAATTTATTTGTAGATATAAAGACGGTGTTGATTCTGCGGTTTCCGATGCTGCTATCGAGTGTGAGGGTGCGTTGCGTAATCCGGTCGAGGGATTCAAAATGGGAGATTTTTTTTTTGTTATTAATTAGTTCCTCGGTAAGATCATGGGGGGTGGTTTTCGTTCTTTGATGGATACGAGAGAGGGGAGGGTGGTGATTGTGTTTTGTTCTGCGTTGCGTTGGGTAGGGTAGTTTTGCTTCTCGGTCGTTCCGCACAGATTGCCCGGGATCATTTAGCGCCGCACTCTCTCACCTCACACCCACCCACACCCCCTCCCGCCGCATACGACACTCTGTAACATCCCCGTCATCCCCCTCTCTCATAATACACACTACGACTATGAGCCCTCTATTAGTCAGCTTTTCACGCACTTTGCACCGCATTACATGTAGATATCGCCTTTATTAATGTCCTAACCCACATCCACCCCAACCTAAATTTGTTTTCAATGCTATATTGTATATTACGAGAATCCTCATATATA